TCTAGTGTTGTGGTCTGAGACCACCTAAACCAAGACTATAAAGGGTTGAGACCAAGTCCAAGTCCAAACCAGTGCAAGTCCCACACTGCATGACACACCTGTTAAAAAAATGTGATGTATGTGACATGTTTCAAGTAGCTAATATTTGGTAAACCTTGTTAAGTAGAAGAGCACATGGATAACGTGAAGGCGGAAGGTTCTTCTGACGCTCTTGGAATATCAGCTATACAGTATCAGCTTTGGACGAATAGAGGCACTGGCTAGAAGGGGCAAAACAGCCACTGATGGTCTGGAGAGACCACAAGAAACTTGTCCATTCATACAACCAAACATCTAAAGCTCTACCAAGCCCTGTGGCCCTTTTTTTGCATGTATTTTTGCTTTACTCTGCATTATCATCCAAAGAATGCTAAACCCGATGTCCTCTCTCACCAGTTCCAACGAGAGAAAGCTTTATGTTTTTAAGTGGTCTGCTCTGGAGCCTCCAGATAACCTCAGACCAGCACATTCTGACCATCTCCAGTAACTGTCCAGACCACCAGCTTTTTGCTCAGCTCATCGGTCCTGCAGTGGAGGCCTGATATCTCTGAGTGCAGCGCATCCTGGCCCTAATCTGTCGCTGCTTCTGGTAATCCTCCACAGAAGAGGACACCTGGGAGTTTGTTGTTGTCTGCCTCATCAGATCCAAGATCAAAGCCCTTCCTTCCAAATTTCCCAGATCAAACCTTTCAAGGACAAGCCTTGTCTAAATAGAAAGATCTCTGTAAGAACAACTTCCCACGCAAGTAAACCCTTTTTCCTTTACCCGTCTTGTTTTGTGTTGTGCTTTCAAATCTTGACAAAAGTAAAATGCTAAACTCTTTAAATCTGTGGATACGGTTTTCGGTCCACGTATTAAATTGCACGTGACACACAAGAATGTTACGAGAACACAAAAATAAAACACATGAAGGAAACAAGAGCAAATTTAATTGAAATGACAAAGATTAAATCACTGTTGATGAGACAGTGTTGTTGTTTGCAGTCAGATATGATCATACTCGCTTGACATGAGGAAGAGACAAGGCACACTTTCAGACTGAGCCGTCAGTCTGTTCGATCCAATAAAATGCATTTGAAGACATCAGCTCTTATGTAAATACTGGCATTACCGCAAGTACTTAGACATTAAGTTGTAAAATCTATAGCTCTAAATGGGGCTCAAAGACTAGACTGACTCATCTGTAAGGATCTGAAACACTATTTCCAACCTTGACTCGTGTATTTCCTTTTCCACTGGACCAAACATTCCATTTGTTTTTCCTGAGCTAATATAAACATCAGCACGTAGCAAGTAATAATAGACCCCTCGATAAAGTTGCACGTGCAGCATTCTTTTCAGCTTACAAGTGAAGTTATTCTACAGCAAATAGTTTTCATTCACTTTCATACCACAACATACAGCTAGGCCTGTTTGCATGTAGTAAATGATCTTATTTAGCTTGTTCAGCCACACGAGAAACTCCTAAAACTGTAGTTGATAAAGCATTATTTTTGGTGTTTAAATGACGCAGGATTTTTAAAAAAGTAAATAAAAATAAACTTTCTGATTCATAAATCACAAGACAGATCGTAGTCTCCACTTCAAACCACATGACAAAGGAAAACTTTGTTCACCTTTTTTTTTTTTTTTCAAAGTGCATCTCCAACACATCTGGTTAGGATTACTTTTTTAGTTCATTTGTTCAGGTTGGAATTCATAAAACAAGTGATACACCTTTAAAACCTAATGCCATCCAAAATACCGGCCTGAATTCTACCTTTGCAAAAAATATTAATATTCAGTCTTGATTGACGCTATCAGTGAAGTATGAACTTGATTATATACTATCAAGATTGATGTTTATTGTGGTGTTAAACTGGGCTGTAATATACTGAGATGTGTCCAGATCTGAAGCAGGCTGACGGTCTGAGAAAAATGAATGTTAGGAATTGTTTAGGAATTTGCACCAAGCAACATGCATTCCTAATATAGTCATAAAAAGTGAGGCAGCATCACCGTTTTGCAACTTTGATTATTTCACTGTTTGTGTTGTGTTTACATGATGCATATTTCATCTTCTTCTTGTTGAACTTGTAGTAGAGTGGATGGAGCATGTTGCTGCTCTCTTTAGTTCACGTGTTAAATGTCCCTGATTAACCTGTTTAGTATGAAATAGTGCTTCATTGCAGATCCAGTAATGGCTAACTCTGTTTACTGACATGTTCGCTTTCAAAAGGTTTCTCTCTTTGTCATAATTGTTACAGTCAGGAAATCTAAACATGTCTAAACAGTTTGTGTCTGTAAACAGAATGCATTTCTTACCTGAGTGCTTCTCACTCAGCACCAGCCCAAGTTTTATAAACAGTTACCAAATCTCAGCCCTTTCACTCCCACTTTAAGTCTGAAGTGCACTCCACCCTTCGCTACAAGAAGAGACTAAATCTTCCTGTGTTTAATTTCTTCATTTTTCCTTCACTTTGTTCTTCCTTGATATGTTGAGCTCTTACATTCTATTCTATTTTCACATCTATTTATTTAATTGTGATGGCAGTCTTTGTAATCTTGTCAGCTCGTATATATTCCTAAATATATATTTTTTTAAAAAACAAAAAACATCAACACAGCATCCATCCATCCATCCATCATCTATACACCGCTTAATCCTCACTCGGGTCACGGGGGGCTGGAGTCTATCCCAGCTGACTCAGGGTGAAGGCAGGGGACACCCTGGACAGGTCACCAGTCTATCACAGGGCTACACTTAGAGACAGACAACCAAGCACACTCACATTCACACCTACGGACAATTTAGAATCACCAATTAACCTCAACATGTTTTAGGACTTGTGGAAGGAAGCTGGAGAACCCAGAGAGAACCCACACTGCACAGGGAGAACATGCAAACTCCATACAGAAAGATCCCGGGTGTCCTCACCGGGACGTGAACCAGGGAGCTTCTTGCTGCGAGGCAATGGTGCTAACCACCGAGCTACTACCTTGCAGCCCTATTAGGATGCATGTTGTTGTTTATATTTAAGATTACCATTTCTACCTACGTTCCTCCAACTGGAATAAACTGGCTTTTCTTCATAAAATGCTGAAGGCGACCTTTTAGCTGCGAGGCAACGGTGCTAACCACTGAGCCACCTTGCAGCCCAACACTGCATTTAGTATTTTATTCAATTCTATCCATTCTTTTTTAAGGTGATCAGTATTTTTAGAATACAAAAAGGGGAGCCAGAGCACACCGCTTAATTTGTGAACTTTTAATGTGCAAACTGACTAATGTAAGTATTTGTAGCTCGACATCTCTACAACAGAATGAACACCATAAAACAACCAAGTAGGCACTATACTGGAAATGATGTTGGGCAGATGGAGATGGGAGTTGTGACCAGAGATCTCAAATCAGTATCAAGTCATACATGTGCAGTGCAGAGTTACTGAGATTGTTGATGCTGCTTGTGGAGTTTTGTCCCACTCTCGCTGAGGTTGGGGACATTCTGAGGAACAGGATCACATTATCAGACCCGTCCATCCAGAGCATCATGTGTTCGATTGTCTATTGTACAGTGCTGTCTGAAAAGATTTCTTAGATGGCGAATGGTGAAGTTGTGAACTTACAGCTGTAACTGACATGAAAACCTCCAGCAGGAACAAAAAGAGCAGCCAACAGCCTGTTCTTTTGTTCCTCTTGTCATTTCTAGCATTGTGTTATTTGAATGAAGCTGCATTTTAGGGTGGCCTTTTACAGTCACTGGTCAGAGGAGTGTCTAGTCATGCTATCTGATCATTGTAGTTGAAAGCCACATCTGAATAGGGCATGGATTAACTCAGTGGTCGCAAATGAGTCACCAGTTGTGCACACAAAAACTCCAGAACAAAGCTTTGTTTCATGCTGTATAATGAAATAAAAAATCTGCCACACAGGTTGTAGTGACGATTAACGAAGGGACAAGAACACATTTTTACCTTAAACCCACCTAGCAGTTATATCCATCTATGGCTGATCCAACTTCACCCACTGATCAGCCAGATTTAACTTTTTCTTTGACTTTCCCTTCATCTCTTTAGCGGGCAGCATCCAAATGTTCAAACACTGCTGGCAGTATTCATTTAAAGAGTCTGTTATTTCTGTGCTCGAATAGTCCATTCATTAAATTTAAACTTTAACCCAGTTAGTCCGCTAAGTGACTTCAAAGAAGAGATGTAAACAGCTGACCAAGATCATCAAACCACTTTGCTGCATCAGGACCGTCATGTGCCCGTTTAGACACGCCCCCTCCTTCTCATCCAATCAGCCTCGAGAAAGGAGAGACAACTCTTCCGGTTCCCGTCTCTCGCTGCAACTATGGTAAACACGTTCATTATTAATCATGTTATTTAACGCTATTTCGCTTGTATACAAGCCAAACAAACAAGCAGACTGCTTAACCGCATTATTAATGAATGAAGCGATAGTATTACGCGATGCATTTCCTCAGAAATGTGGATGTTTTGTGCCGTTTCCCCGTAGCTAGCAGGCTAAGCTAGTAGCCTTCAATGATGGATGCTGGCGCTAGTGTTACAGTGTTTACTGCGCAATAAATGTGTTGAAAAGTTACTGAAAACTAAAATAACTCACCACTGCATGTCTTGTTGTAGCGGTTCCGTTTCTGTGGGGATTTGGACTGCCCAGATTGGGTGCTTGCCGAAATCAGCACATTAGCAAAACTTGTGAGTACAAACCCCCCCCACAGACAGTCAGTGAAACAATAATATTCTTTCAGGATCACTCAGTCTGTTGTTTCTATATAATAATGAGTGTGTTGTCCGCCTCACTAATTTCACAGTCAAGTGTCAAGATGAAGCTCCTTTGTGCTCAAGTGCTGAAGGATTTGCTGGATGAGGGCATTGATGTAAGTCGTCAAACACACCTCCTCACATCCATCATATATTTCCCACACATGTCAGACACACAACTCAGTCTTCTCTCTCTCCATTTTCAGTATGACAAAGTTACAAAGCTTACTGCAGATGCAAAGTTTGGTAAGTGTTCCTCTTTTCGGTGCTCAGTGAGAAATACAGTAACTGCTTTAAATGTGACACTTTTCCCATCACCCAGGTCCATTAATTAAGTGCAATGTGTGTCTTTATTACAACTTCTTTGTCACCTTCCAAGAAAGTGACTCTTTCTTGTCTTTACAGCTAATGCTTTATTAGTGTATGGAAGAGATTCAAAATATACATCATAATACTGTTCCTGTGCTTCTTTTTTTAAGTGAAAGTATCAGTGCCACAGGATAAACATACTTGAATACAAATAAAGGTCTTGCATACATAATCTTACTCAGTAAAAGAAGGGCTGCATGAAAATGGAAAACCTTACAATGAGATCTCTTATTTTTCTGCTGCAATATATATTGTGAAATAAAAAATAAGGGAATTTTCAGTAGATGACTTGAATAACTCTATTTGGAAAGAATTATTAATTCTCAGATGATTTGTAGGGGAATGCGTCTACATCAGAAATAAATATCTGTTTCAAAACAACAAATGAAGGCTGTTGTGAACCTTTCTTTGCTAGTCTAACTCTGGCTAAGGCATCCAGTTTAACCTTGTGCTTTGAAAAGATTCAGATCTGTACACTCATCATGTCGTGCCTATTTAAATGTTCAAACACGTCAGTTATGTTGCCTTGTGATTTTGTGTAGTGGAAACAACTGCAGGACTCCAGACAGAGTACCTGTTTTTGGCCAGCGTCATCCTTTCTGTTGCCAAAATATTCCCATACAACTGATGTTGCAGTTTCCTTTTAAACCCTAAAATTTTCCTTTTTGCTGGTTCTCTCCTGCTTCTTGCTCTTTGCCATGGACAGGAGAATCAGAATCAGAATCAATCGGAATCAGAATTTGACTCTGGTGAATCTTAGTTTTCTGGATAAGAAATACAAGAAATAAACTAGAACAATAAAATAAGTTTAAGAACAATAAAAATAAGAGTAAGAGCAATAAATCGCAATATTTACAATGTCTGTGCAAAGA